TTCTCAATCCTTTGGTAAAATGGTATTTTGCTCCCCAATCCTTTTGTAAAATAGGGCGTTAATCGTTTTTTCTTTAGAAGACTGACTTTTTTCAGCTCCAAGCCTCAACCTGAAGGTTTGGCAGCATGAGATTATGAAATTTCAGTCTGGGTGGCAGACCAACAAGACAAATCCAGCATACCCATTTCAACCCCCATTGAAGTTATAGTTAGAGATCCTGAAATGTCACATCAGCTGATTTAAACTGCAGTCTTGTGTGGCAGAGGGAGTCGCCGGGGCGGATCGGAAGGTCGAGGGTTCGCTCCCTGGAGGAGCTGAACTTTTTAAAAAAAAGGACTGGCTCTCAGGTCGACCCAGCCTTGAGTGGGTACCAGATGCAGTCCCGGGAAGTAGAGGCGGCCGGCGTGATGCTGACCACATCACCCATCTTGTGCCGATTGGTCTATAAAAATATATGTCTAGCCCTATGTGCCCTATATGCCTAAAGTTGTAGAAAAGGGTCCTTTACTTTTTTTACTTGTGTGGTAGAGACGAACTGAGAAATAAAAAAAAAAAAAAGGGTCAAAAGTAATGAATGATTTGTATTCACAAAGCAGAAAAGGGGGAATCTTCTTATATAGGGAACCGCTTGGTGCTGTTCCTCATGTCTGCCTATAACCTACTGTCTTGTGTACTTTCAGTCAGTTCCGACACAGATAATCTTGCACTGCATGACGTCAAACTGTCCAGCATCTTCTCTTTCGGTTTGCCTCTGCCTGCTCACCTCCAACTTTCCCACCCTCACGATGTACTCAAGTTTTCTCCCTTTCATGCCAAGATCAAAGAATGAAGATAGTCTCCTTATGTTCTGATATAAAGTATGTAATTCTAGTATCCCCTTCTGCGCCTAAGACCAACGTCCGTTTGAGCCTTTATCTTTGAGGTCCTGTGCTCCAAACTCCCATCTTGTTTCCCATCTCTGAACCTGTCTAGCGACTATCTATGTGTTCTTATTAGGTGCCCGCTATAGCGCTATCTTCTTTGTCTTTAAATTGTTACTTTCAATGTGTGCCCAGAAATATCAAATAGTGTATTGCCTTTCAGGAACTCAAAGCATTTTATGTTGTAGTGAGTTTCAAAACTCATGTTGTCAAACTTTAACAAATATTTCGAAAACTCCTTGTCAAATCAACAAGCATGTGACCTTAGATTTCTCAGTCGTTATAATTCTGTAATTTACAACTATGCAGATGCCGCTGTTTTCTCAAAGCGGCGAACTTGATCTTTGGAAATGAGTTTCCATGTGCAACGACGCCTGATGAATATTTTGTTAGCCTATTTGCCACTCAATGAAAAATTCGCAACTTACGGGAGGCAACTACTGGCGATGACCATTCGAGAGTGACATGCCCATGCGAGTGACGTGTAGTTTGATGTTTGAAAATGTTTTACTTGCTCAATTTTACTCAAGTT